TGTGCAAACCCTGTCGAGATTGGATCCCAACAGACTGCACCCCAGTATGGTGCCCTGACAGATGTTGCCCCAATGTAGGGCCCCAACAAGAAAGAATATCAGATGTTGTCTTCTGGATGTGATATGGCCATTAGTCTTACGAACTTACAGCAGCTATGGCCACCTACACAAAGTCTATATAAGATCAAGCCAGTCAACATTCCAAAGAGAGTTCACCTCTAGATGAGAAGGAGTCAGCAACTGCTAACTGTTGAAAGGAGAAGAGTTACTTTTCTTTGGAGTTGTGGCTTCTGCTGTGTTGCTTGTGGTATGGTAGATGGTCCCTATCCTGCTTTGCTTTCTATTGCTGTGAAAAAGACCATGACGAAAAGCAACTTTGGGAGGCAAGGGTTTATTTGGCTTACACATCCCAATCACAATCTATCACAAGTCAAGGCAGAAACTCAAGCAGAGTAGAAGGTGAAGCAGAGACCATAGAAGGACAGTGTTTCCTGGATTGCCCATCATAGTTCACTCAACTGTCTTTCTTATTCGACCCAGGACCACCTACCCAGGACTGGCACCACCCACAGTGGGGTGGACCATCTCACACCCATCACCCATCATTAATTGAGAAAATGCCTCACAGACATTCCCACAGTACAATCTGATGGAGGCAATTTCTAACTGAGCTTCCCTCTTCCCAGAAGACTCTAGTTTGTGTAAAGCTGGCAAACCAACCAGCAGAGCTTCAGACACGTTCATTCAGACAGCATTAACTAGACTCGGTGGGCTTTTAAAGAGAGCACGAAGGTAGGAAGTGCTGAGGAGGTCTGGGGCCTCCTCAGATGACTGGATTTGGGTTATATACACTAATGATACATTGTATAATGCATGAAACTGTTAATGAATAAACAGAAAGTATTAATTTTTACTTTTTAATTTTATTTTTTGTTTATTGAGACAGGTTTCTCTGGGTAGCTTTGGTGCCTGTCCTGGAACTAGCTCTTATAGAGCAGAGCTGGCCTCGAACTCACAGAGATCCGCCTGCCTCTGCCTCCTGAGTGCTGGGATTAAAGGCGTGCGCCACCACTGCCTAGCTAATAAAAAGTATTTTAAAGAGATGCTAGAGGTGATTTACAGTCTCTTACAGTGGTTCCTACCAGTGTGTCCATCAGCTGTGTGGTTCAAACACTTCAGGTGCGATGGGCCAGGCTGACTCAGAATCCCAAATGGTTCATAATTGGTTCTAGTTGACAGCCTTAGAATTCTGAATCCAGTTTGAATTTGAGAAATTTCCAGGGCCATGAGAGCAGCAATAGTGCATGTGACAAAACTCCTGCACCCACGGGACAGGGCACCAATAGGATGCTCTGTTCTTACTCACAGGTTCCATGTGACCCAAATCACCCCATCAGGCTGTTTCCCATCGAGGTGAAAGACACACATGATACCAGTCATCTGGATCATTTTTAGTGGTGTGTGTTGAGCCCATCCATATTATTCATTGCCCATCTCCAGAACTGTCATTTTCTCCAAAGACACCCATGCAATTCTAATTCCTCATGTCCCCTTCCTGCAGTTCCGGGCACACCCTCCACATTTTGTATCTGAAAATCTCACTAAATACTGTGTGTGTGTGTGTGTGTGTGTGTGTAATATATGTGGGTGTATTCATATATATTCACTATAAATGAATATATATATATATATATATATATATATATATATATATATATCATGTATAAATGGAGCCATCCACTCAGTATTTGTCCCTTCATGACTGGCTTATTCAACTCATGTCTTCAAGGTTCATCCAACAGCACACACCAGAATTCACTTGCTTTTCACTCATTCCTCCACTGATGGGCATTAAGGTTGTTTCTTCTTTGTGCTACTGTACACGAACAACTCTGTGAGCACAGATATCCAAATACCCTCTTCAGCTGCTGCCCCTACTTCCAGAATCACTGAGTCATATGGAAATTCTGCCAGAATCAACGAAGTGCTAAGTAGCCATTGTCCATTGATCAAAGTTAACAAGAGAGGCAGAAGTCCTTTGTCAATTTTGAAGTGTGATCATTTCTCCTAACTGTGACTCTAGGATATCCATACTTTCCAAAGTGAGCTTATAAAGGCAGGGTTTGCCAGGCAGCAGTGAGCTCGGCGCCAAGAGGCCTGTACACCTGGGTGGCTTTTGAAGGGCAACAGGGAGAAGGAACACCAAAGAAAGTACACCAGGGCAGGAGCAGCCAGCATGCAAATGAGCAGGGCAGAGGTGAGGTTGGAGAGCAGCTCCGCACAAAACAAATGCAGAATGTCGAAGGGCTGTGTGGATGGGGCAGAGGGGCTACCCTACATCCTGGAGCAAGTAGCACTAGGATATTTCTTTTCCCTCTTATTTCTGTGCTCTGCCCCTGTACTTCTCTATTGTTCCTGAATATAAGCTTCGAATGGATCAGCTTTTTATTACATCCTCAAGTGCAGGGCCTCGGGCATGGCCCAATGTACCATTCACATTGTGTCGCTTGTGTATGGCACAGTGTGGTCATGTACAGTGCACCTGCATAGCAACACAACTATGCACAATGGAACCCAAATGAAATATTGTAAGTGTATTTACACATGCCCAACAGAAGCCAATAATAAAATATTTTAAGTGTGCATCTACACATGGGTTTTCGTATGAAAGTTTTGCTGTGCTATCATTTTTGAAACTTATTAAAATTAATGTGTGTAGATATACATGTGTACAAAGTTGTCTATGGTATTTTCTTTAAAGATTTGTTTGTTTATTATGTATGCAGTGTTCTGTCTGCATGTATCCTTGCAGGCCAGAAGAGGGCGCCAGATCTCATCACAGATGGTTGTGAGTCACCATGAAGGTGCTGGGAATTGAACTCAGGACGTCTGAAAGAGCAGGCAGCGCGCTTAACTCCTGAGCCATCTCTCCAGCCCTGTCTATGGTATTTGTATACTAGAAAAATGTCAACATATTCAAAAATATCACACTGGTTGCATAAATTGTAGCAGAGGTATATCGCTGTAAAGAGAAACATACTCCGTCTACTAACGTAGACTGTCAAGATGTGTCATTACATAAAAATATGTGTAACAGATGAGTATTGTAGGTTACCATGTCTGTAAAAAGGGGAAAACAGGATGTATCATCATTAGATGATGGGGCTGGAGGAATGGTTTAGGGGTCAAAAGTACTTGTTGCTCTTGGAGAGGACCTGGGTTCAGCTCCTGGTACCCACATGATGACTCACAACCACCTGGAACTCCACTTCTGGGCAATCTGACACTCTGAAGGCACCAAGCAAGTATGTTTATACTATCCATCCATCCATACAGGCAACATACTCATACACATAACATAATCTAAAAAATCAAGTCAAAAAAGCAATAGATAGACAATATATTCTTGCCTATAGAAGAATCCTCTCTCAAAGGACTTTATAGAAAAATTCAGTGCCTTGGCTGCTCATAGGAGGAGACTAGGTATTCAAGAGATGGGATGGGAGGTGGGTTTCTTTAGACATCCTTTTGTATTTTTGTATTTCTAATCATAGAAATATATGCCATCCTGGTCCTGCCTCAAGGAGGTGATGGGACAGACCTAGTTGACTTCCCAGGGGAGACCTTACCTTCACTGAGGAGAGGATTGGGGGAGGAGAGAAGGGAGGAAAAACTGGGATTGGCATGCAATAAATGGAAGGAAGGAAGGAAGGAAGGAAAGGAAGAAAGAAAGGTCATTATCCTCCAGTGTGTCCTGAGATGTGTTGATCAAAAGGCTACCAGGTTCCTCTCAGACTCCATCGCTGGGGGGGGGGTGACACTATACTGTTATATGTTGGTTATATATAGATGGGCAATGGAGTGGAAAACATTGGGGGCTGTGGGATAAATGCCAGCTTCCTATTTCTCTGGGCCATGGAACTGGCTGACAAATCATGGGTTTGTTTGGTTGTGGATTTTGGTGTGTATGTGTTCATGTGTCTATGTGTTCATGCGTGTGTGTGCATGCATGTGAAGCCAAAGGTTGACATTGGGTGTTTTCCTCAATGGCGCTCATTTTGTTTTTGTTTTTGAAACAAGGTCTTTCAATGATGGTGGAAGTTACCAAGTCAACTAGACTGGCTAGCCAGACAGCCTCATGGATCCTTTGTCTCCACCTCGCCAGGGTTGGGATTATAGGAGCATGTTGTCAGGCCTTTGAGGCAGGTGCTAGGGAACTGATTCATGTCTTCTCAGCTTCAGACATACAACTCTTTATGCTCAAACGATCTATAGTGGTTTATAGCTCCTATAAGAACCCCAAGATTATATACTAAAGATTTATTTATATAATTTATGTATATGAATGTTCTGTCTGCATGTATCCACAGCAGAAGAGAGAGAGCATCAGAACTCATGAGAGTACAGTAGAGATGGTTGAGACACTTGTGAGCCACAATGTGGGTGCTGGGAACTGAACTCGGGACCTCTGGAAGAGCAGTCAATGCTCTTAAGCTGTTTTTAACCACTGAGTCATCCCTCCAGTCCATATACTAATTTTTAAATGAATAATAAAAAGGTCATTGATAAGATGTAATTTAATCCCCCCCCCCAAAAAAAAGAGAATAATTTATCTTTGTCTTGGTTCTGATATATCCCTGGCTGGCCTGGAACTAGCTTTCTAAACCAGGCTGACTTCAAACTTACAGTGATCCTCCTGCCTCTGCCTCACAGGTGCTGGGATCACAGGTATGAGCCACCATTATCAGCTCAAAGATTTCGTGAGTAACATACCATCATAAATGTTTGGTCTTTATTTATTTAAAAAGATTTGAATTTGGTATATCGAAGTGTTTAATGAACAACAATCATCTTATAATGGATGAGGTAATTTACCACCCCATCAGGTTAGAAATATATGTCTAGTGATATGTGAGAGTGGTTGAATTTGTATTTTGTGCACATGTAGAAAGAGACAAAATCTGTGCCTCCAGGAATTCTGGGAAAAGCACAAATTCAAATACTTTTGTTCACTTTTATTTAACTCAAAATAGCTAGTAACATAAAAACATTTTAAAAATTATCTCTAATACTTCACCATTTAGCTATTTTTCGCTGACGACACTTGATTACTTTATTTCTAACATATAATTACACAATCAATTGTAAAAACGTTATCTTTAAAAGTTCACAGCAGGCTTTCAATCTGTGGGGTTAGACGCTAATAAAAATTCATGACATGGTACTTTCAACTGTACATATTTTCTCCAACATTTAAATTTATGAAAACTTATAACCATAAGTAGGTTATGTTCATCAGTACATACACACAGGTAGGACATACATTCTACAAAAGATGACCATCTGTTTGACACCCAGTAGAGAAGACATATTCAAATATCGAACTCACATTAATCCATACATGATGCCAGCGAAGAGAAACCTGGAAGAACAACCACACAAAAGCCTGTGGCAATACCATGACTGTGCACCATGGAGGAAACCCAGACACAAACAGTTCATCTGTGCCTGCCGCCACCAGTGTCAACTCACATCTGACTCCCACTGGGACAAGAACTTGTAGTGTGAGGCTAGTGTTTAAAGCGTGTTCTTCCTACAGGAAAGGGCCCCTGGGACTTCACTGGGGTGCCAACTGGCCTTCAGCGGGGCACTCATACTTTCCAATACTAGAGGAAAAAAGGGGAGGCCAGACTTCCGGTATAGTGTCTTCCTAGGGGACTCTCAAGGATTGCGCCAACACCCCATTTCATCTCAAGCACCGATGCTGGAAGCCAACCCGTAGGTGGGAGGCAACACCCCTGAAGTGGGAACTAAAGGCATTCTAGTCTTCAGTGCATTCTACTGTCAGTAAAACTGGATTTCCAGGCTGGCTTTTTCCTCACCCTTAGCAGTGGGTTCCAGGGTTCTCTTTTGGTGCCAGCACCCCTGAATACGGTATCCCCCGCTGAGAAAAATCTCATGATGTAAAGATGAGTGTTGTCAAGGTCCAAACAAAAGGCCACCAAAGTCACTCAGGGTCAGCAGGACTCAGGATATGATTTCCAATTAGCAAATGGCGCAGTTGAAGCAGAGATGGTTCTGTTTGGTGACACTCGGAGCTCCCAGTAATCCATTGCGGCTTCCTTGTCCTGACTTCCCATGTTGGAATCTCCCTTTTTACTCCAACAATTGGACATAAGCTGCTGCCCTGGTTCAGTTTCTAATTTTAAAAGCACCATTCTAATAGAAATGTCCCTGTTCTGAAGGAAGCGAGGACTGAATTTTCCCACTAGCTAGAGCTATTCTGTCACAGAGTTTCAGGTAAATTGGTCGAGCTATTGATGTTCTTGCCATTGACACTGAAACTTGCTTCAGCTTCTTCCAGCCAGGTAGGACTTCTACCTGGGCTGCAGATGAGAATAAAATATTCCATGAAGAACTCCTTCGATGACCACATTGGGAAAATCTGAAAAAGAAAAAGAAAGCTGCTTTTCTTAACATGCACCAACGACATATAATCGTGTTTATGGAAGAAGCGTCAGAACAGCTACATCTCTCTGGGGTCCACATGACCGAGCCATTTGCCCTTGGTCAGGAAAGAAGGTTAGAGATCAAGGCCATAGTGTCAGAGGCCAGGGCTGCTACTTGGGCCTATTTACCCACGGCAAGGAGTGCTACTATTTGTGCTTGTCAACCGGAGGCCATTTTGGCTCCCACCAGGCATTGTGGGATTGCATGGCCAGATTTGCAGTGTTACCGATTTAGGGGCTGCTCTTCAAATGGTTAATGCCACTAGGCCCCAGCTCTTTATCCGGATGCTTCCTCACAAGGAAGATGGATTACGCTGGCAATTCAATTTCTAACAAAAATCTCAATACACTCGAAGGAATTTCAAGATTTCTATTGGGACTACTTGGCTGTGGTTTTTCCACTGAGGCTTACGGAGCCACTTCGTCCAAGTTGTGTGTGTACTTGTGGGCGCACTTCTGGAGACTAGAAATAGGAAGTCTGTCTTTTAACTCCAAATTCTAACGAAAGCCATCCTGTCCAACTTGAAACAGCAGCCCCACTTTCGCAGAAGGCAATGCAGAGGTATGCAAAGCATGTTGAGCCCGTTTCTAGCGTGAGAGCAGATATAGTGGAATGCAGGGGGATCAATCTTCTTCCCATAGCACAGATGTTCAGGTTGAAGTTTCGATCTGTACACAATTACATCAGGAGCTGGGCAGTCTGGGTAGTTATTATGCAAATGGACTACCATCTTGATACTTCTTTTCATCCTTTCATGCCCTACAGAGCAGCTACCTTATTAAGTCACGTGCAAGGGAACTGGGCTTCATCAGAGAAGGTAGGGAGGCTTCAGGGGCAATAAGGGGACAATACAGTCTATGGCAAGGGAGCCGAGAGGATTCAGAGTCATCGGTGGAAGTGAGACAGTGAGGGGCCTGGTGCTCAGGAGGACAGAGGTACCAGCTCAGACCTATGAAGATCTCACGGGAATGTATCAGAGATGTGCTGAGGGTATTGAGGGATTTTAAATGAAGCAAGACATGAACTTTTGAAAGATGACTGACTGTCAGGCCGAGAATGGACTGAAGCGAGTGTGAGGTGGATACAGATCAGCCTGGTTACTGTGATAGTGCAGAGGAAGATGCTGCTGCAGGACACAGAAAAGCGGATGGGTTCTAGAGAAATGAAGGATGTGACCTGCTGACAGATACGAGTGACCAGGAAATAAAAGGGAGGAGTCAAGGATTAAGCTGGCTGGGGTGGTATGTGCTTGTAATCCCAGGAATTGAAAACTGAGGCAGGACCTTGAGTTCAAGGACAACCTAGATTGTGTAGTGAGAGACAGTCTGGAAGGAGAGGGAAGACGAAGGAGGAAGAGAGAGGGGGTAGTCGGTAAAGGAAAAAATTAATAATAATTGAAGTCATCACAGGCACACCTTGGGTTTCTGTCTTAGCAAGTCAGAGGGTTGCGGGAGAAGCTGAGGAACAAAAGGGAATTAGAAGGAAGCCAATCATTTCAGTTTGGGATCCCCTGAGTTTGAGACACCTTTGAGTCTAGTCAAGGGTGAAGTCAAGTACATAGCTGGAGATCTGACTGATTTCCCTTAGCAAACGTTCACTGAAATGGCTCTGCATCCTGGGTAGTCACCTCCCAGCTCTATGAACACAGCTGACTTGTTTTAACAGCGGTGAAGGATTTCACACCAAAACCTTCCTTACCGGTTATTGACAAGTTGGTGAGTGAAGCCAAGTTCATGACTTGGGCCTGGCGCACAGTATGTACTTGGTCATTACCACATGCCATACACACATCTAATTACCAGAAATAAAAATTACAGCCTCTGTCCAGGCCATGAAACAGGTGCTAGTAAGCAAATGATACAAATAAATATTTAAACAAATGTCTCTACTACATGATTAATGCGCTTTCTCTCTGGCTAATGACACTGGCTTTCTGAGTGTGTACCTTTCTGCTACACCACACACACACACACACACACACACACACACAATTTTCATAGATCACAGCTTTAAAAGCCTTCAGTAGGCTATAAATCTGTGTATTTGAACAAATGGTCTAGCTAATTCTAATTTTAAATTTATTTCTCATACAGATATTAATACAGTGAACCACTGATTCATTTTCAATAAAATATCCAAACATATTTCACATGGGTGGCATATTGCTATCCTTTGCCATCTGAAATCTGAAAATCTACTTAAAGACAGTTAATTTACACTGTGAACATATTTAACTTAATATGTTAAATATGTGAGCATATTTAACAAAGTCCCATAAAACAATGAAAACCCCGTTCATTATGTCCGATGAGTAATTCTACACCGTGATTAATATGGATTAGAAGCAAGGACACAAAGCAGGGCACGGGTTACAGGACAGGGGACAGAAAAGGGAAAGGCGACTCAGCATGAAAGGGCCACTTGAGCAGATTTGAATGAGGGGCCAGAGGAGCTAATGAAAGGGCACGCACGACAAAGAAGAGCATTGTCCAGAATATTCAGCCAGGTTGATGATGCCTACCTGGGTCCTTGGAAAGAGCTAATTTGTATTTTCCAGAAAATTTAAGACAAAGGCCAGAACGTGCACTTTTGAGGCTGTCAAGAGAATTCTCTCTGGAGGCCAGAGATGGCTCATGGGTTAAGAGCACTGGCTGCTGATGCAGAGTACTTGGGTTTGGTTCCTAGCACCTACACGGGGGTTCACAAACACCGCCAGCTCCTGTTTCAGGGACCTCTGCAGGTCCACAGAGAGTTCATATACATATACGCAGTAAGACACTCATACACATAGAATAGAAATAAATAATCTTTAAGACAGAGGGTATTCTCTTGGCTTTTGTTGTCAAAAGCTAATAAGATAATGATCAGTTACCAGCCATTCTTTTTTATTTCATTGGCGCATATATGTGCACACATGTGATTACATACAGGTAGCAGTCAACCTCTAGTGTCATTCTCAGGAGCTGTCCCCCTTGTTGTTTGAGACAGGGTCCCGGTGGCTGAAAGAACACTGCTCAGCTAGGCTGGCTGACCAGTGAGCTCCAGGGATCCTCCTTTTGCCTCCAAAGTGCTCGTTTACAACTGCACCATGGTGCCTGGGTTGTTTATTTATTTATTTATTTATTCATTCATTCATTCATTCTTAAAGTAGGTTCTGTGTGCAGAACTCAGATTTTTATGTTTGAATGGCAAATGCTTTACCAATAAACCTACCTATCTGGCCTCGATTCTCTAGGCAGAATGTCTAAGATGTAAAGAGAGTGGATGTGAATGGGAGTCGGCAGCTCTCAAGATTCCCACACTCGGTATTTTCAGGAATAATGGCTTCCCCTCACTGAAAGGCATGTTAACAACACAGTGTGGTACAGAGGAAGTTCCTCTAAGGCCAGAGGGATCTAATTTCCAAAACTGGGTCTGCCAAAGTTTTAAGACTATAACATGAAGGGTTGGCAACTGCGCCCCTGTATCTCCCTGTCCACCAAACCCATTAATTACGGTTATTCTCAAATAGGAGGTCCCTTATTTTGGTCTACACTATCAAGTGACCAACAACACACACACCTTCCTGCTTTCGACATTTGCCCTGATTCCCAGAAGGCCCCTCGGTCTCCACTGTCAAAGTGTACACCATGTGGTAGGTGCTGCTTAAAAGCTTAAAGAATCAGATTTAAAGATCACAAACTATGCCCCCTGCCCCCTCTCACTTCCATCAAGCCCATGGCTATTCCAGGCCAGTCATTACTGTTTTCCCCACTGCTGCGGGAACTCTAGACAGGTGCATGAGAAGAGAGAATTCCAGAACAATTATGCATGTAATCAGTTTACAAGATAATGACTGTTTAATCTAGACTGGGTTGTACTGTATTTACTAAACATAATTTTTTAATGTAACACTGGCTAATATGTTAATAATTAATTAATATAAATATTTTAAGTATAGGAAGCAGTCCTTAAAAGGGGTAACTGTTCCTCACTGATAAGACATGCACAAAAAGCCACCATGAAACCATATTCTTTAGAGCTGAGGCAACTCTCTGAGCAGGGTTAGAGGGGTCTCAGAGTAAACTGTGCCTGCGTCCTGGTCACCTTTCCTTTCCCGGCAGGCAAGCGCGTGTCCCGACTACAAACCCTGTGCTACACAGCAGTCTCCTCTCCAGCTCATAGGAAGGTTTAGTTGACAGAAACAATGGATCCTTCATCTATGCTTTCTTGTGACTTGATATTTGTCATTCCTAGAGGCTGGAGACCTGGTGTGCTAAAAGCCAAGAAGGAAAACCTGGGCCTTAGATGGTCCACCTGAGTCCGGCAAGTCACCAACATCCCTGAGCCGGAATTTTCCCCGTTAGCCAATGATATTACCTGCTGAGCCTATTTTGAGGCTGCCTGCAAATGAACTGAGATGATGCTGAGCATGTCCTCCAGGAACATTGCATAGGGGAACACTTTGAGAGGGACTCTAGGGAACTGGAACCGAAAAAGGACGCATGCTGAAATATCGATTATGGTTACACTTAAATCAATTAGCTATATTTGAAATACACAACTTAAAGATATATAGTCTATCATCCAAGACACTAAAGCCTAAATGGAAACGCAGGTATAGCTGCAATGCATGTGCACAGCTTTGGGAAGGAAGCATTTTTTAAGAAAGACTAGAACCTTTAACCTGAACTCTGACCTCTAGATTAAAAACAAGCAGCAGTCTGAAAAACATCACAAAAAAAAAAGAAGAAAAATAAGTACCTTTATCCCTTCTTTTCTCTAATTCAAAATAGGCTAGGAAGAGAGAAAGAAAAATTACATTTCCTCCTGAAAGGCCGGCCCCAATTAAAATTCTAAATGTCTCTTACACCAAGAGCACTGGTTTATTGGCAGATGATTAAGCCCTGGACCGATGTCACTCTGTTAGACCCATATTACAAACGTGGTTTATGTGGTGCAGGGGCAAATCAGTAAAGAGCTGTTAGCAGATGACAGGTTTGATTACCGCTGGCTGCAGGCAAGACGTATGGATCCCCGAGGAACAGCAGCACCGGCTGGTGGGACAGCTTGCTGGAAAGGTCGAAAACAGGCATGTCAGCATCAGGGGACGATGGTAAACAGAAAACACTACAAACTAGCTTTGAGGGGATCAGACTGCTGTGTGGGATGTCCCTAGGTCTCCGCAACCACCAGCGTGGGTGAATAACAGCACACACACAGAGGGAAGCCATGGCAGCTCACTTGCTTCCCAATATTTCTCTTTGGGATGTGAGACAGACGCTCATCTTTGCAGTAAATACCACTGCCGGGAAGTACTTTCTGAAACTCTGGGGTTTGAGCACAAGTACAGCAGTATTCTTACTACTTGCATGAAGCCATGAGGAGGGGGGCATGTAATTAACCCCTTTCATGCTGAGTTACAAGCAATTAGCCCTGCAAATTCCTATCAAATACTTATCATCTTCAAACCAATATCCAAATAGGTTTTCAAGAGGCACACAACTTTAAACAGGCGTACCATGGGTAGTTTAGACCCTGAACAAACTCAGCTCTATTACTGATCTCTATAACCAACTCCTCGTTGATCGACATCAGTTCTTACCTTGACTCTTCAGATTCTGTCTCATCAAAAGATCTGAAATTTTTATAAAAGAAAAAAAAACCAATTAAGTTGGACCAATATTTATGGCAACAAAACAAAGGTTCGTAGCCTCAGCAGTGAAATGGGAAACAGGCAGAAAGGTTGTGTACGGAGCCAAAGTACAGCTGACAACTAATCCTAAGAAATCTTCAGCCTGGGTGATTCTGGGCATTTCAAAATTTCCTTAAGATCATTTAAAAATCGTACGGCCTTAATACTGTTTGGGGGTTGGAATAGAAATAAAAAGACCTCATTCCCCGTAATTGTTAAGGTTTCTGTGCAAAACTCAAGAGCAGCCATAAACCTGCCCTCCTAGGAAACACGAATACACAGGTTGGGACAGAACACACTGGCCACATAGACTACTTGGTGAGTATGGAAGACAATTCAGGCTCTGGGGTGAGCAGCAAGTGGCCACAGTGCTGAGGAGGCGCGGCGAAAAGTGTCTACTGCCCCGTACTCCGCAGACAGCTCAGGTTTAACCTGATCTCAGGAAAGGGCTGGGGTCGGAGGGAAAGAACGGGTGGGTAGAGCCCCTTCCCCAGATGGATTTGTGCTGCCTTATGTCTCTGTGGGTCGACACTGGACAGGGGTGTTGCTGAGCTTTCAGAGGCTAGCTCAGAATTCATCTCTAGCTGCTGGTGATGTTGCTCCCCCAGTTCCATGGTTAACAGGGACTGGGGACCACAGTTCATCCGTTACTAGTTCCTGAGGGAAGACAGTAGCCCTCATGGAAGGTCTGGGTTCTGCCGCGTGGACAGCTTGGGAAAAACACTTAGATATTGTGTCTCTGACCAACAGCCAAATGAGGGGTGCTGGATCAATAATCTCTAAAGTCATCTATATCTTTAAAACTATATGAATATGGGAACTGGAGGGATGGTTTGGTGGTTAAGATCCTTGTTGCTCTTCCAGAGGATCTGAGTTTGGACTCCAGCACCGATGTTGGGCAACAACACACAACTGCCTATAACTCCAGCTCTGGTGGATCTGACGCCCTCTTCTGGATTCCACAGGCACCCCCTTCAAAAGCATGGCACACACAGACACAAGCATACACTCAAATAATAAAAGTATAGGTTTAAAAAGCTACATGAATATGTATACTTGGCACAAGCCGAGGACAGTCTGGATTCATAATTAGCATCTGCGACACTATGTGACACCATCATTTAAGAGGGTAGTTCCTTCTGCCTAAGCATGAGTTTGCCTGGACCATTTGCTGCACGATGGAGGTGAAGACTTGGGAGGGATTACTCTTACTATAAGTAGAGATATGAGAGAGAATGATGCCTCAGCTCAGAGCTTAGATGTGGCCAGCTTGCCCTGTGGCACCACTCTGGGATATCTGTGAGGACAATCAGTTATCGAAGAGTTACTTAAGATGCACATCCATAATGTAAATAGCGGTTCTTACCCACAACTTTCTGCCTTTGGCAGAGAGGGCAAGTGTCTGACATTGAGGAAATCAAGGAAGAGTTTGGGAAGTTCTTCGTTCTCCAAAATGACGGCCTGTGGAAGCAGAAAATGGAATTAGAGCCGGGAGGGGAGTCTGTTAGACCATCAATCAAAGGAACTCCATCAAAAAGTCATAAGCGTCCATCAAAGTCATTGCCAGCAACATTCCCAGGGTTGATACGAGGAGTGGATTCAGCCTGGCATACACTACACACCCTGCATTTACCCACCGCTTCTCGGGAGATCTACAGAAGGGTCTCCTACCTTCAGACGTTCCCTAACAGACAAGACATTGCAGAAGCACCGGGCATGGTTCAAGCCTTCACAGAGACTCTGATCCATCCTGAACAGTCCAACCCCAGGCACATCAGCTACACAAATCAAATTTTCCCTATTGAGTGATAAAGTATTTACATTTCCATAACAGGCCACTAGTCCTAGGAAATACTGCAGGTTTTCCATCTGGAAGATTTAGTCTATGCCCTTAGCTATCACCTGCTCCTGCACTAGGACCAGTTGACATTTATTGCCATCTGGGCAGCTCCACTTAAAGGGTCAGTGACAACTTTACCGCCAAGTGTAAATCAGGGCATATATTGAAAAAAATCTATAAAGTTCTTCCACTTAAAGAGCTCTGCTAAAGAGCTGGCATAATGGCAGAAACATGTCAGCACACCGAGAACCAAATGATGCAAAATGTGGAGGAGAAATCTGATGGAGGCTATGGGGTGTATTTTCATATTTATGCATTTTTAAAAGAATCTGCCAATGTGTGTTAACAGATTATACACCTGATACCCGGTCCTCTCTCTCCACTAAAGAGCAAAGACGATGCACCTGCTCTTTTGCTTGTCTAAATCTAGCCCAGGCTGGTCCTGAATTCACAACAGTCCCCTGGCCTCGACCTCCTCAGTGTTGGGATTATGGTTAGGAGTGGCTCTTAAGGGTCTACTTAAATAACATTCCATGGGTGAGCTTTTTCCCCCCGCAATAAGCGTATGTTATCTAAAGAATAATGGGAATTAGTTAAATATTGTCTGACAGAATCTTAGGAACAGCCATATAACTGGTACAGAAGATACAGGACAAACACAAAAGGATCAAACTCTCAGCACTTCTGTGTATTGTAGGCATGCCACCATTTCCATACTGAGCTGCTCATTTCTCACAGGTGAGGAAACCTACTGCCCACTGCAGATCACATACATGGATTAGGGCTACACAGGCTGTCGGGCCTGAGAAGGCACTGCGATACCCAATTTCTCCTGCTATTCAGGTCCCCGAGACAGTCCATCTGGAAAGGTTGGGTGTCTGGGCTGTCACCATCCCTCCCAGAGTCCACTGTACCAGAAAGATATTAAGGACTAAGAGGAGAAGATAGAAGAGTGATGAGGAATTCTCCTCTAGTCGTTAAATAAAGCTGCCTGGGTACTTGTTAGAGCGGGTGCTGGCGCCCAGCAGCGAATAGAGCAGGTTCAGGGGAGGACGGGATAAAGAAATAAGCGCACACACGACTCGAACAACCTAGAGCACAGTGACGAGGTTAAGATCCTGCACAACACTCTCCAAATACATTCACTCCCACTGATCCATCCATGCACATACCCCTCTGTCGTCTCAGATCTCATTTTTTTTCTATTTATGCAAGCAGAAAAACAAAAACTTGAGAGAGCCGAGAAGGAAGGAGGCTCTCTGCCCATGGACAGAATTTCTGACATTTCAGCTCACTTCTTTCCAATTGCTTGACATTTATTATGAGCCCTACCTATTCAATAGAGTTTCTGAACATCCAGAGATCATTGCTTTGGTAGCCTAAGAAGTTCTAGAAGTTTGTGCCATGACAAAGGCTAGAAGGACCATTAAGATGTTTCTAGATGTCTGCTTAACAAGACAGCCTAATGCCCACTTGAAAAAAATAACTTAATGCTGTGTTAAATATGGAAGAATTTGCCCCAGAAAAAATTAACAACTTGTATAGGTGGTAGCCTTCAGATTTAAAAAATAATAATAAAAAAACAGGGGTGGTGTTACATTCTTATCTCCACCCCTACCTTTTTAAAAACAAATTAAATCAATAAGAAGTGTGGGACACTTTTAATGACCCGAACTACTTAATTTCCAGGCTCTTTAGACATATCATCCATCACTGCACTATGGGGGAAGACATCTCTTGAGTGTTCAGGGGGCTCCTTCGGTTTTATTAATGCAAGATTTAGGGAATTTTAACAAGGTGAATTGTTTATTTGCCTTGACAGATTGGCTTACAATGCACTGGCTACATCCACAGCATGATCATTAATGACAAAAGACAGGCAAAAAGCTGTTTACACTGCACACAGGGACAGGAATTAATCCTGCTCCCTCTCCCTGGAGCTCTCCAAACAGATGACCACATTGTTTTAGGTAAGACATCTTGGCAGACAGAAACACAGAAAACTCTAGAAACTTACAGGCACCTATTTTTGTTCCAGGAATATTCTCAATTAATATTTTCCAGAAAACAATGGTCAAGCTACTCTTTAGGGCTCAGTGTTATAAAGAAAGCAGTACCCCGAGTGTGCAGGGAGTGTTGCTAAGGCTTTCAGCTACGTGGTCAGGAATGTTTCCTGAGCTTTGTTAGGAAACCTCACACACACACAAAAAAAGAATTAATACTCTAGTCTGAACAAAGATGAAAAATTTACCTAATTTAATATAATATGAACAAATAAAAACAACTGTCATTAATTAGTACAGAGATGCCAAATAGGAATTAAATTAGTTCAACTCAGTCTTTTGGGCCATAAACACATGATCTCATGCAGGAGACTGAACAGGAAGTGGGGCCTCCCGGCTGTTCCACTTCCATCTTCATTCCTTGAAATGCTCGTCTCCAGGAGCAACCATCCCTCTCCAGGGCCACACCCTGACTCATCCCGCATCTTCAGAACCCATCTGGTTCACATCACCCAACTTTATTCCCCAGATAAGTTCCTAATTGTATAGAAAAATCACATTTTTAAATATGAAATCATGTCCCCACTGGTTTAGCCTGCTGGTCTTTGTTAGTTTTTGGTGGTATTCATTTTTAGTCTCAAGGCAGTGTGGTGCATGAGGCATGTGGGTTTGATTGTCAGACTTGGTCTCCAGCCTTTCTCCTTGTACTTACGGGGTTCTCGTGCGGATTCAAGGAGACATCCCCAAGAGTATCGGCATACAATTAGCATGTGAGAGATTTCACTCTCGTGTGTGTGTGTGTGTGTGTTGATTTCCAACTCATTTTTAATCACTTGGAAAGTTTGGATGAATATCTCTATAGTGACTAGATGTTAGCCACACATGTTCTGTGGATCCTTTTGAAAACAGGATAAAGCTCAGTCGTTGTCCCCCACGTCTCTCTCTCCCTCCCCCTCTCTTTCACACACACACACACACACACCGCACACACACAGAGGAGGACACTTCAGCAGAGGACACCTTCCTTTAGCTAGGCTGTGGCAGTCATATTGCTGAGCACTTGAGTACACTTGGCCTGGAACCCCACATGCCGACGACTGCTGTTCACAAGCCTCCTCAAAGATGCCCTGTCTCCCTCTCTGTCAAAACTTGCTGGAGTGTGTGCTTCCTTCACATCAGGGTCTTCAGCTTTAGACTATGGTTAAAAAATATTTGTCCAGCCGGGCGGTGGTGGCGCACACCTTTAATCCCAGCACTCGGGAGGCAGAGGCAGGCGGATCTCTGTGAGTTCGAGACCAGCCTGGTCTACAAGAGCTAGTTCCAGGGCAGGCTCCAAAGCTACAGAGACACCCTGTCTCAAAAAAAAAAAAAAAATTTGTCCAAGGGGCTGGAGAGAGGGCTCAGTGGTTAAGAGCACTGGCTGTTCTTCCAAATGACCTGGTTTCAATTCCCAGCACCCACATGGCAGCTCATAACTGTTTGTAACTGAGATCTGACAGCCTCACACAAACATACATGCAGGCAAAACACCAATGCACATAAAATAAAAGTAAATTTAAAAAATCTTTGTCTAAGTGGTGAAGGCATCATGGTAAAGAATTCTTCCTGGTGGACAAAAATCTACTATTCCCTAGTTCTAGCAAGCATTCTATTTCACTGCTTCTGTGTTCTGTATCTTCTACATAAGACTCAAAAGTGTAACAATTGCTAGTGCCTAGGATTCACCAACATGAGGAACCAGTAGGGAAAATATGATTTGAACCCTTTCAACCCTTAGCTGGCGAAGCCTAGACTCCACACATATCCGGTAAGGAGTATTTTGGTGGTGGGACGGTGCAAAGTTTCAAGCCCAGAGCTGTCTACTTGAGATCCTAAAGTCCCTGGCAGTAGAGTTCCCATGCTGCTCGCCCATTCTTGCAAAGCTGGCATGTGAGGCCTGGCAAATAATTTACGAAGTAAGAGAGTGTAACTCAAAATGAAATGGCCAAATTAGAGAAAAGGCTAGAAATAAATTCCATTGCATTTTACAGGTATAAGAGCTGAGTAAAATACTGTAAGAGGCACAATCAATCACAGATCCAAGACAGAGAGTAGCTTTTTCCACGCAAGTGCTGTGGTCTCCAGTGGTGGGTTAGCATGAAGGGTTTCTGCTACCCGCTGTCAAGAGAGCTGAGTCATCCTCCCACCCTGCTCAGCGCATTTGCCTCACCCCCTACAATCCAAGAAAGAGAAAGAAAACAGTGAGGGAGAGCCAGAGGCAACAAGGACAATAATTAAAAAATGGCACTTTCCACAGAAGTAGGCTGCTTGAACAAGGAGAGACGGTAGAGGACCATGGGAGAGAGGGAGGCTCTTTCATTGCAAGGACTAACTGGCCACACGTGGTAATATACACTCAGCATGTTCAAAGCAAGTCTGTCCTGGTAGGGGCAGAAGAAGTTCAGCTCCAACTGAACTCTGTTCAGTGAAGCTAGGAGAACACCCCAAGGGTGGGAAAAGAAACACCAAGGGGCTTCTAATCGATGAGGGCCCCTTAACACGCATGCAGCGGAAAAACCCTCCAGACGAGCTGAAAATGCACCTGTGGGTTCTCACGCATCCAGTTTCTCACTTAGGGA